TGGGGAATAGAAGGATTGATATTCCTTGAAGACAGCTGGATCATTTTCAATCTTTCAGAGGGTCAATGAAGCACTTGGAGGCTTATCTGTGTCCTCAGGATCACCTGAGTAGTACTCCTGATTCCTGTAGCTTCCTGAAAAAATCCAGTTGCCTCCTGAAAAATCACCTTTGGGACAACTATGACCTGGATGACTGAGAACCTCTATAGAGTTTAAGCTATACAATTTGGGATGAAAACCTTTGAATGGTATGGGGCAGAGATAAGTTGCTGCCAGTAGTAGTGGCGGTGGGAGGCTCCGCCCATCCTCCTGGACGGAAACACAACTGACCGGTAGTAAAAAAATTAGCAACCCACCTCTGGTGTGGGGGTAGGAATGGATTTCCAGAGAAAAAAATTGCAGACTACAGGAACCAGGAGCACTTCTCAGTGCCCCTAAAGACACAGATAAACCACCAAGTGCTTCAACAACCCTCTAAAAGGATGCAAATGATCAACTGTCTGCAAGTAGTGTAAATCTTTCCATACCCCACTCTCCTGTCGGACTGAAGAAGCTTCTTGGATGACAAGCGAAATGTCTTCAAAGAAAAACAAGAAAGTCCAGTTGCCTCCCGAAAAAGCACCTTCGGACAATTAGTATTTTATTTCTATAGTGGTGTGGATCTAAATTTTTAATATTGCTTACTGTGCAAATGGATCAGCTTTAAGGCTGCACAACTGCACTTCACTGCAAAGTTTCCTGTCCATTGAGGAGCTGTTCACCAATTGTGCATTTTGAGTTGTGGTTCGATCCCAAGGGATTAGAAAGCTATTGGGGTTGTGTGCAAAGAGCACACATTGCATTAAGTATAATTTGGAGTGACTCATTCTAGACATTTCCAATTGGCAAAAACTGCAAATACGGCAGTGGGAATGAGTTTTGTGATAAAAATCTTTGAGAAATGAGTTTGTTTGAACAATGCATGCTCTTGACGTTTTACCATGTTTCATTTTATTTTGTGCTTTCTTGCTGTCAGCTATACTGATGGCTTTGTGATTAATGTTGATGCAATATCTCCTGTGTTTCCATGGCTTCCAGTGTCACCAGAATACCTCTTTAAACTAAAATGATAAATCTCACATGTTGTCTAGCTGACTCGGGAAATTTGTATAAATGTTATAGTATAAAAGGTCTGTTTTACTTAATGAAATGGTTGAATAATTCCCAAATATTATAAACAGCCACTTATGACCAGGCCAGAGTCTAATAGCAATAACAACACTCAAAACAACAGAAGTACTCCAAAAGAACGTCATTATATGAATATTGTAGTGCTATGCAAATAAATAACGCTGGGAAACTATTTCAAGAACAGTGTTTCTTAACATGTGGTCCTAGAACCTCTGAGAGGTTTCCCCCAAACTTTTTAGGATTGTCAGAATAAAAATAATTTGTCAGCCTATGTTGAGAAATAATACAGGATTAAAATCCCATCAAACAAACATGAGAAATGGCACCAAATGCAATCAATTTTAATTTTTTTATACAGTAAATGTCAATAAATGTAACCTGTATGAACTAAAGTCCTTGTTGACATTGACACACATTAAAAATGAATTTCTATACATATATATTAATCACTGTCCATTTTGAATATATTGCGGAAAGAGGAAACTTGAGAGTTCACAAGGTTGATACTAAATGGAACAAAACTGTGTCAGAATCTAGATGTTCTGCTTCAGATACCACAAAGCCTCCTCCCAGAAGGTAACAAGGGAAACAGGTCATGAAGAGGATGCGAAGCATCCCAGAGACAATACTGTGGACCCTTTTAAGCATCGCTTATATGCTATGTCCTGGATAGAAGGAAGTGAATAACTAATAACCTTTTCTGCCTTCTTCACCACTCTCTGCACTGCCTTATTGTCCGAAGCAGTAATGCCATATGATAGGATGCTCTTGATCATCTGTCTATAGAAAGTGGTAAGGACAGAGGAAGGAAGATGTACTTTTCTCATGCAATGAAGAAAATGCAAGTGCTCTTGTGCCTGCTTCATCAGTGTCTCACTGTTGAGCTACCAAGCTAGTCTACTCCTTAGCTGCATACCAGAAATGTGATGCTGCCAACCACCTCCATAGGTGAATCATTAATACAAATATTTTGTGCATTAATCATTAATACATATATTTGGTGTAATACCAGACATAAATACTCAGTATTGCTAGCTAGTATCTAGACTCCTTCCCCTCAGGGCCACATTGTTTTATTTTGCATATTTCCATTGTGTGAAACTAATTTCTACAGTAAGTAGAAGGTAATTAATTGTGAGTCAATCCTAAAATAACACAATTACTCTGTTGTCACAGGTGCATTTCAATAGGGCCAAAAAATGTTGAGGCTCAAATGAAACTTAGAAGCAGTACCTTTTACTGGGTCAGATAATTATGAGAGCTGTAAGCTAGCAAAATATGGAAATTCATTACTTCTTTCCATCTGCATTTACTAACAGATGTAGAATCTGTATTCCCACTGGAAATCTGCATTTTCAATTTTCTTCATCCCCATCTGTGTTTACCAACATCAGCTTCTCGTTTCAGAGGGGAATTATGCTTATAAGATGCCAAGGATTAAACTCATGCCATTTTGCACACAAAATTCATGTCTCACGTTTGGGCAATGATCTTTGACTCCGCAATAAATAATGCAAATCTTGCTATATTTCAGTTTTGGTTTTCAGAAATAAATATATTGGCATTCATTGTGACCAACTTAGGTACAGTAGGATGCTTTCTATGCTAGAACAAATACTATGTAGTATCTGATGTATTTTTCAAAATGGATACAAAATCCAATAGGTCTTTTTAATATTTAGAGATTGCTATAAAGACCAACAGTACCTCTTAGCCTGATATTTTAGAAAGTGATTTGTTCCTTTGCCACAGATGAGTGAGTGAAGCTTCTGCCTGTGAAAGCCTTCGTAGCAGATTGACCTGTGTAGCCAGCCTGTGCATTGCCTTCTCCCAGATGTGCATATTTAATGCCACAGTTTGAGGATTGCATGCAGTCTCCTAATGTCTTTGTAAGATTCCAGCAAACTCAACTTTTTAATGTAACAATATGGTAGATCTACTAAAAACTTAAGAAGATATATTTATGTATTTAATGTATTTAATTAAAAGTTATGAGCTTGGCTCTGCCTGCTTGTTGGGCTTGGTCCTACTATATTTTTCACTTTCAACCGGAAAAGGTTGTATACCACTTATTTGCAGAATTCATGAATGGGGCTGTTGTGTTGGCAGGTTTACAAAGTTTGACTTTCCTCAAAGCTGGGATCACAGTGCCTTTTCTCATTGATTCCAGCTAAGTACTGTGAGTTAAGGACAGGGGTGGTATTCAGCAGGTTCTGACCAGTTCTGGAGAACTGGTAGCAGAAATTTTGAGTTGTTCGGACAACCGGTAAATACCACCTCTGACTGGTCCCGCCCCCATCTATTCTCTGCTTCCTGAGTCCCAGCTGATTGGGAGGAAATGGGGATTTTGCAGAATCCTTGCCCTGCNTATCCCTCTACCTACCTACCTACCTACTCTCTCTCCCTACCTACCTACTGTATTTATCTTTCTCTCCCTCTCTATCCCTCTATCTACCTACCTACTTTTTTTTAAAAAAATTGCCTCTTCAAAACCTTGGTGTGTTTTATACTTCTGTGCGTCTTATACTCCGAAAAATATGGTAACTGACAGCACTTTTGAAGTACCTGAAGGTGGAAGATGCAAGTGAATATCAAAACTCTTTATCATTCAAGAGTGTAGGATGTAGAACAATGATCTCATTTTATAGGAAATAAGATTCTGGTTGAATATTAGGAAAAACATCTTAATAGTAATTGCAGTTCAGTAGCGAAGCAAATTGCTAATCAACATTCTATGGTCAAGCAGAGCATGAAGAGCCCTCTGTGTGGAGATGCTTAAAAATGAATTCCTGTATTAAACAGGGTTGGATTGGCTGGCCCAAGTAGCTGTTTTGACTTGGGAATAAAGGAATAGATAAATATTATTTATATTGCAGATCAAACTTTGTTTGTCGACTATATTTTGCAGTATGCATCGTCTTGACAAACTTGCCATTGGTCAGATAAATTATAGTTTCAAACTGAAAAGCCATCAATCTTCTATGAAGAGTAAGCAAGTTAGCCACCATCAACTGTATAGTTTCAACAAATATACAATTATGGAGGCTGAGAAATTAATTAAATATCTCTTGAATTTAGAATGTGATATTAAAAAATTCGTGTAGTAAAATGAAATCCTAGAATAGAAATGAAAAAGATTCATGGGAAAAGGGCTTCTTAATCAGAGATTTTGACTTCAGTATTTTTAATAAACAAATTAGAATATTGACTGGTTTTAATTGAGGGACTAAATGGTCCACTATTGAATGCACTTGAGTTCTTTTTCCTTATAAAGAAGAAGAAAAATTATATATGAATCCATAAATCTCTAATTAGTTTTACTGCTTCTTTTCGTTCAGCAGGACAGTTGGCAGTGTATCAAATGCAAGAAGTTCAATTCTCCCATTAAACGATATTGCTTCCGCTGCTGGGCCTTAAGAAAAGACTGGTTCTCTGATTGTCCCAGGCTAATACAATCAATGTCTACATCTAACATTGCTACAATTCACGGTAAAGAAGACCCGAAAGGCATAGATGTCCCAGATTGCCGAAGGACAATATCTGCTCCAATTGTACGTCCTAAAGACTTATGCAGTTCAATGGCAAAGCCCAACCTGTCCTCTAAAAGCTCCATGGATTCTTTGGATCTAGCCTTGGGATGTGAAGACAAAGAACCTTCTCTGCGGTTTGTTAAGTGCACAGAAAAAGAAGTGCAACCTCTTGAAAATAGCAAAGAATTACTGAAGCCTTGCCTTGTGTGCCTGAAGAGGCCGCGGAATGGGAATATTGTCCACGGAAGGACAGCTCACTTGGTGGCCTGTTTCACTTGTGCAAAACGATTGAAGAAAGCACGATCAGTTTGCCCAGTCTGTAAAAAACAGATTCAGATGGTGATTAAGACATTCATAACATAGCTGTGTTATTTGTTTGGATACTATGGACATTTGGTATTCAGCTGTTATAAGAAAATTCTGCATGCTAAGAGTGTATTGTTCAAGGAAAGTAAATAATATATTTTATTCTGAACTTACGAAAGGAATAATTTATTTCTCACCATTAAATATAACACAAAAACATATCTCATGAATCTTATTTCTCAGCCATTTCAATTTTGGAAGACAGCTGGAATAAATTGGAATTTTAAAAGTTACGTTTGGAATCACAATCAAATTTTGTTCATGCTTAGACCATATGATAACTGTAAGTTAAGTAATATGTGTAAAGATGTCAACTGTAAAATCAACAAGTCTTATTGCTGAATGTTGCCAGTATGTTTTTTTCTTATCATTTCTAAAGCGCACAATTAATATTTCTTTGGAGTTTTTTGCACTGTCTTTTTAAGTAAACAAGAAATTTTTGGATATGTGAAAAAGCTATATAGATGATAGGTTTGTATCCTATTATAAATTATAGATATATCAGTTCAAGGCCTTATTTAAACATTGCTCTTTACAAAATCTCTGTTCAGGAGCTGATGTCCCCAGATCTTTTGATGTTCCTATAATATTAACTTAAGTAGTAGAACATTCTACATTAAAACTGTGAAATTTCTCTCTCAAAAGAGAGAACAGTTGATGCTCACTGAAACAATGTATATAAAGTGGCAGTGGACTTTTGAAAGTTTGAAAGTAGCACAGTATTTCTCCATAGAGAAATGCATTTTTCCTCTATTGCTCACATGGAAACTTAATTTATTTTTATTCTTTCTGATTACCTTAAGCCAAATGTATATTAAGTTGCTTTTTGCTGCTTCCATGTTCTAAGTCCTTTTCTGTTGGAAGACAGTGATACCGTGACTTTGATTTTGGGAAGTAAACATTGTTTCCATCAACTCTTAAGTTTCCATCAACTCTTACTATATGCCTTTGCTGCATATTTTGTCAAGGTGCTGAACTGGTGAATGGTAGAATGGGATGTGATCTCATAGACTCATCTTTGAAATAAAGTTGTCATTTAAGAAAGATCCTTACTGTATGCACAATAAAATATCTAAAGATTTATTGGAGCTGCTTCTTATTTCATAATAGTCAAAGTTCTATTAAAACAGGTTGACAATTTGCATGTTAAACTTTTTAAAATAATTGGGACCATTCGTTCAATGCCAGATGATTAAGGATAGGACATTTTATACAGAAGAGATGTAACAAAAAAAATCAGTTCCATAGTTGTTCTTTCCTACATTGTTTTCATTTTATGTTGTGAATTTCTACATCTTTATTTAACATCTTGGATTTTACTTGCAGAGTTCATAAAACAACATAGGGAAGCATGTGTAAACAATACATGCTATGGAGACAAAATTCAATGATACTTTCAGAACTATGAATTCTTTCTATGTTGAACAGCTGCTATTTAAGAAGATTATAGATGTGTGGTTTGTGGTATGCACATATTTTAGCATTATTAATACATGCAGTTATATATAAAGTAATGCTACCCACCAATCTGATTTGTAATGTGACACTTAGAAGGGGATGGCCATCTGAACATTTTCATCTCAATTTCAAAACAATTACTGAGTTACAGACATAGGATAACTTACAAGATAAGCTAATTAGTGTGCAGCAAACCTTTGTAGTAGAATTGTTAAATAACTTAATAATGCAACCAGAGAATATTGTTCCCACTAAAGGGGAATCTGAAAACTTTAAAGAGCGATCAGTTGCTTCAACTCTGTGCCATAATTTATTATCTTCAAACAGCACCATACCTAGGAACAATTGGACTTTTTCCTGTGCCACTGTCATTGGTAGCTGCTGTATCACCACCTATGAAATAACCAGTTGTCTAGTGGTAGTCATAGAAGTTGGTAACTACATCACAAAGCTGGCAACCAAAAGGATAATGTATTGGACATGGAAATCTTTCCATCTCTGCATATGACACAGTACCGTGAGTGTTGCGTTATGACTTGGAGAAGCCACATCCTCTTTCAGTTCTGAAGTTCATACAGTAGACTGATGAAGTTCATAAACTGATTAAAATTGGGAAACTGACAAGCTGCTTCTAGCAAAAAGAGATTAAAAACACAGTTTAAAAACTTCAGTTAATATAAGCATTTGATGAACAATAAGAGATAATAAAGCAAATATTAATAAACTTGCAAAAGCCTGGTGGTGTTTTTTTGATAGAAGGTTCATAACGATGTAGAACAAAATTTGCATTTTTCTCCAGCCTCTGATTATATTACAAGATTGGGCAAAATAGTTTAACGAACACTGACTTCATATTGCATACTAGCAATTTGCAGAAATGAAGATTTGAATAATAAAACAATATGGCTTATAATGCAGCCTTGTTCTAGAAAAACATAGGTATTAACCATAAATTTGCCTTCTATTATTTTCGAAGTAAGATTTTAGTCTGACCTATACCTGTCTTTGGATTCAGGAAATAATTTTAAATAATTTGGATTAGTTTAGTTTTTGTTTTTGTTTTGNCCCCCATCTATTCTCTGCTTCCTGAGTCCCAGCTGATTGGGAGGAAATGGGGATTTTGCAGAATCCTTGCCCTGCCATGCCCACCAAGCCACGCCATGCTCACCTAGTCACGCCCACTGAACCGGAAGTTAAAAATTTTAAATACCACCACTGGTTAAGGACGACTTCATCATCCCTTGGTGAATTTGGTCCTCTAGTCCTATTATGACACTTTAATCTTTATATAACCGTTGAGAAAAGGCAGTGTTAACACAACTTATTCATGGGCAGGGTGATTGTCTGTACATCTGCAAAGTATTCCACTGGCTAGGTAAGATGAAAATAAAGATGAAAGAAATCAGAGAAGAAGCTATTGGTTTCTGTTTCAACTGGTATAAGCATGTAATAGCATAGGGATTAGCAGTTACTTTGTCTCCCAGAAGTTCCAATTATGTGGATGCCTGCAATAATTACCATGATTACATAAGTTAGGTAAAGATGTGTTTAAACAAAATGCCAAGTAATTACAGCTGTTTATTTTTAATTTAAATTAGCTTATTAATATCATTAATAGGGTAATTAATTTAAAAATGAAATTAATATCAGTAGAGTTATTAGAATTAATTACTTGATTGGTGAAATGATTGAATTCATGTTAATTTTATTCTGATTCTGAACTCTCAGATGATGTTATTCCCCAAGGTCTTGAACTGGAATATTTACCCAGATAAACAAGTCTATTTATCTCTTATTTACCGGAACCGAACTCGCTATTCATTCTGCTTCTCACTTGTTTGGCCTAAATTTTTTGGAAGCGTCCACACAATCAAAAATTATTTTGGCTGAGTTTTGACTCCTGGTAATTTCATAGAAGCCTCTGTATAGTTATCCTGTTAGCAATACAGAAATGATTTGCTAGTGCTTTTTCTCAGGATGCTATTTTAAAAATATTTTTCTGTCTTCACTAGGGTCTTAGTAAGTACTCAGCAGGTTCAATCTGTTTTAACTTTGTGAAATCCATCAAAGTGGTGTATGTGCCTTTGTCTAGCTGGACATAGTGTATACTATGAAGCACCAATTGTTCTACAAGCTTTCTGGATATATCTAGGGATTACAATTAAATTAAAAATTCACATTTCCATTTCAGTATATATTCAAAATGTATCCTGCAAAATGACTCTACAGAAATCCTTACAATTGAAAACACCCTTTCAACAATTTACCTTTTAATGTAAGGCTCTGTATGTTTTTAATGAATCCACTTTAAATTTATTGGCCCTACTTTAAGTCTTTCAGCATTTGATGGTGATTAAATTGTAATGAGGAATGAGGGTGTAAAGTTGGAATATGTCTGTGCTGCCGCATTTCACAATATCCCAGTGGACTTTTTGCATATGGATATTTTTTTTTCTATGTGGAAAGACAAAAGAAATCAACCTTATCCAGCTGATCCTCTCCAAATGTACCAAAATTGCAGCTCCTAAAATTCCCACTAGTTATGCTAATTTAGCCTTTTGGAAGATAGCCTAACCCATGGTGCAAGGCTTTTATGGAAACTTGGGTATGATGGTCCATCATTCTTTTCCCAAAAGGTTTCTTAGCTGTAACTATAATTAGTATGTTGGTAGACTTACCTCTGTCTTATTAGGAAGTTTTATTCATCTTGGGATCTGCTGGGATTTGCCATTCTGGGTGTACTCAGATTAAATATTTACTAATTTGTTTCTTTTTGCCTTTGCCTGTTTCTTTTAATTAAAAATTAAGCAGAGATATTAGAACAGCTTGTTAAATCCTTTAAAACTAAAAAAAAAAAACCCGCTAACTTTTTAGATATGCATTATCAATAAATCAATGTGATATGCAGATGCTAAGACATGAGTGGAATAAAAATTAGATATTCCTATATTGTGTAGACAATGAGAGGGTTTAAACGTCTACAGCAAAAATCCAATGAACCTTAATCTACGAACTATATAAAAAATTAATGTTTAGAATGAATTAAACTCCATTAAAATTGTATAGAAAAGGGGCTGTCATAAATAGCATTTTGTATAGCTGTAATAAGGATAAAGCTACTTTAAAACATATGTTTCTACAGTTTTGGGTAGTAAATTATATAAACGTGATTGTGTGACAAAAAGTAAAGTTTCAGAGGATAATATTCTTTTAAACTTAGTATACAATATACAGTTTACTGCGTAGTGGACCAAGGACCAACTAAATTTACAGTTTAAGCTGGGAGAAAGAGGGGAAATGGGCCACATGAGTGGTGGGCTGGTATGCATGCATACACAGCACAACTTGTGCAAGTTGAGCTGCATGTGCACATGTGCATGCCGGCCTGGAGGATGGGGACTCTGCCTTAGAACATGGAATTTGACAACTAGACAACATAAATAGATTCCCTGTGCCTGTATTATGGCCAAAAGACTAATATTGCAGCATTGTACTAGATAAATGTATGACCTCATTTATTCAATGGTTCTGATTGCAGTCATCATTTTTAAGTGGATAGATGCAGTCTTGTATGGATAAGTATAATGAAATGTGGGACTCATTGACAAGTTCCTTGGGTGTCTAACAGAGGTGGGTTGCTCCTATTGGCCGAAGCGGTAGTGGAATTCAGGCCTGGATCGCAGAAGCGGCAGTGACCCAGGCCTGCACTGCCCCTGAACTGCTTCCCTTGCTGCTGCTGGGCCACCGCCATTTTGGATTTTAGTGACTACGCATGGGTTGCAAACTGGTAGCAACCCACCACTGGTGTAAAATCACACTTGGTCAAATAAGTATTCAGTTCAATAAAAAGTTATATAAATTTATTAGAAACATATAGGTACTTGAATAATAGTTACATACATTAGATAAGTATACACAGAATTGAAATCGTTTACTGTTATAATGATGTACTATATTTTTTCTTTGTTGTGTTTTGTTCACTATTTTGCAAAAGCACTTTTTATGTATTCTTTTTTTGTTTCTTCTCTTGGATAATGTCCTTAATGAATATTCATAATTATTTATTCAATTTATCTTTGTGTTTTGCTCTTTTTTTTTAGTCTTAATTAAAAATCAATAAAATTTAAAAAAAATAAAGATTAGGTGTATGGGCATTGTGTTTTACTAGAGGACTTTTTAAAAACCATTTTCTTACCAGAGTTCTTGTGGAGTGAACCTGAAATATGAACTAAGATGATCAGTTTCTGCAGTTGGGAGATCATAGAGGGGGCCTAGAATGGACATGTTGAGATTTTCCTGAGAATATTGAGTTTTAACCAGATAAACAGAAATCCAGATCAACTATTTATAACAAATAGTTATAAAAAGGGCCAAATCTGGAGAAGTTCTGGCTGGTCTTGCAAACTATACTGGTTGCCTTATTGTGATCAATGTATTATATAGCATGCCTTGTGACTATCTAGCCTTCAAAGTTGGGAGTAACAATTCAGTGTGCAGCTATTTGAGTTCAATTAGCCTTTCAAAAGCTCCATCTGTTTATCTAAAATAAATGGTTCTTTTTCTTTGGAGTAGGGAAAATTCTGCACTCTTCTCCATTGATTTATTCAGTGGACTTTTAAGCTTCA